GTTACAAACGTAACTTCTTTGTCTATACTATTATGTTTGTTATTAAATAAATTAAAATAAACAAAACAAACCAAAATGAGCAGCTTCAGGAAAATCAATACCGTGTTGAATTATTTGTTCATAAGTATCTTTGAATAATAAGTCATTTGGGAATGACTCAGTCATTCCACGAATAATTGATAAGAGTTTTTTCTTTGTTTCAATTAATACATTAGTTCGTAGTAGTGTTGTGATAAAACAATCTTGCCATGCACTTGTTGAATATAAGTCAATAAGTTCTGGACATTCAATAATTGTTTGTTGGAGTAAAACAAGTGACAAATAAACAACATTATCTCTTTTATTGAGCATTCTTTTTCTTAGTACATTCAATAAATCTTTAGCTTTATTCTTATTAGCTTTTAATAAGTTACATATTCTTAAGTTAGTCGGTTCATCAATAATTTTGAGATCTGCAGCAGTTGCATATTCAATTAATTGAGCTGCTAAGTCCCACGTTATTTTTCTTTTTGGTGTTTTAGATTTTTGGGATTTATTCATTAACATAAATAACTGAAATCTTTCTTGGAATAAGGGTCTATCTTAGATTCTCTTTTCATCTCACTTTGTCATCTCTTTTCTATCATATCATTTTATTAAAGTCATGACATCACTTTCTAGTGAAAAGGTAATGAAACCAGAACTGAAAATAATCGAAGTATTCAATCAACTGTTTATTGACCAAAAGAGTTCATAGTGAGATAGTTCATAGCTTGTTGTGCTTTCCAATTAATATAAAATTCATGCTGTTTTTCTAAATAATTTTTCATTGCAAGTTGAATCTTTTCTTCAGTAATTGGACCTCTTCCTATAAGTGAGTTAATTGCAGTATTTCTTAGTACAACAATATCTGTTGTCATAAAATCTTTTTCTTCATCTTTTGAATGTGGACAACATTGGTCATATAACTTTAATAAAATTTGAGTTGTAGAATTATTAGTATCATCACTAAGTTCAACTGGCATTATATTTTGATTATACATAGAAGCAAGTTGTTGTTCAACGTTCATTAAATGAAGAATAAAAAATAAGTTCTTTCAAAGAAAAAAAGTTTTTTTCATTCCAAAAAAAAAGAAGGAAAAACCCCAAAAGAAGATTAAGGAATCTGAAATTCATTTCATTTATCCAATGAGTTTTAGAAGTGTTGCATCATTATCTAATATTTGTAATCAACGAAGTGAAATACATAGACAACTCAGAAATAAAAAAAGAGATCAATTATTACAAACAAAAAGAGAACCACATTCACTTCCTGATGTTTGTTCGACAAATGATTTTCCCATAGTTGTTGAATGTCTTCAAAAAAGGATGGATGTTGAAGAAAATTTGAGAAGATTACGGTTTATCATTGTTAAAACAAAAGGGAATTGTATTGATACATTAATTGATTACCATGGTCTTCCAGTAATTAGTCAAATTCTCATTGATACAAATAGTAGTATTGATAGTTTAGAAACTTGTTTATGGATTTTTATTAATATTACTTCTATGAGTGATGTTTATGTATTTCATGTATTATCATTAGGAATATTAAATCATATCTTAACATTAACACAACATTCAGTTGAAAATATCAGGACAAATGCATTATGGGTTATCAGTAATATTGCAACAACAAAAAAGGCATTTAATGATAATGATGTTCTTCAATATTTATTACCAACAATTACCCAAACTTTAAAAATGTATATTGACAATACACCAACAGTTGAAGCATGTGCCTCAATATTTGAAAAAATAACAATAATAAATCAATATCAATATCAATATTATCATCCAATTATTGTATTATTTTATGGATTACCTCGATACCCACATGAATTTATTGATGGAATGACTCAATTAATTGCACAAAAACAAACGAAAAAAGCAATATTTTCAAACGAGAAATTATTACCCACATTAGCATCTTTACTTGACCCACAACATTCTCAATTAACTCAATCAATATTAACATTCTTTGTGCAAGTTACAAATTTAAGTCAGAAATATTCTCAAAAATTATTTGATAGTGATACATTTGAATTTATTTTTAATAATTTTAAAGAAAGACTTCGTTTATTGAGGGAAAATGAAACTGAATCACTTGAATTATATTTTATTATTTGGGGAAATCTCTGTCTTCTTGGAGGAAATGCTATCAAATACATTGATGATCATAAAGTTCTTATTCAAATATTAGCAACATTTCAGTGGTATATTCAAAGTGATTATGATTCATTAGTATTTGTATTTAATAATATTATTCTCTATGGATTTGATGAAGTGAAAGAATATATTTGTTGTGAACAACTATTTTTGATTTATACTTATTTCTTAAAAGACATTGATAAAACACCACAAAGTACTTATGAAGCATTAAATGCACTAAGACTATTATTAGTTTTTGGAGATGAAAATGATTTAGACACTAAAAATTATTACGTTTCAACAGGACTGGAAAGTATTATTAATGAACTTTGTTCTAATTCAATTAGAAAAATATCTGATTCTGCTCAATTTATTTATGACTTATTTGAAGCTGAAGATAATTTAGAAATGTCAGAATAAAGATTATTTGAAATTTGAATCAACCATATTCTTCTTGTGTTACACTTAATGAAAATAATTTCTTTTTATATTTTGAACAAAAAGTCTTATCAATTTCCTTTTTTTTTTCTTTTTAAATATTAAGTTAGGTAATAAAAATATATGTAGAATTGTTTCATAATGCTTTTAATTTATTAATTGATTGAAATTAACTGGATTATTAAACAAAATATCTTATACTCTTTGTTTCGTAACTTTATTATCTCATTTTTATAAAAGAAAGTAAAACTATTAATATTATTTATTATTAATTCATTAATTCACTAAAAAATATGTTATATAAATACAACACATACATTCTATTCTAAATAGATATATGTCTATCTCATGAAATATACTTACATATTTATAATCAATACTTCTCAGAATATATTTAAATGTTAATATTTATTAAATATATTAAAAAAATACATTTAAAAAAAAAAAGAAATAATAATAATAAAAATCAAAAATACATTAATTTTATTTATAAATTATAATATTCAGTGTAAAGATTCTGTATTGCATAATAAACAATATACATAGTACTTTTATTAATTTCTAATAAATACCTATAGTTTATTCATTAGATAAACAAATTATATGAAAGTCACGAAGCATAAACTACTAATATTTTCATTCAATTTATAAAAAAGTTTTTTTTTAGGATAGTTTTGACTAATCAAAAGGAATAATTGCTGAATAAATTCAGCAAAGCATTTAATATTAAACCTAAAAAGGAAGGATATGTGTCTTAACAAAATACAATAAAAAAAACGAATTAATGAATAAAAAATTATTAAAGTAATGAAAGTGGAATATAACTTTAATCAATAAAACGTAATTTAAAAAGAAGAAATACATAGTTTTATTCAAAGAATGAGTAATTTTTTCTAGAATTATTAAAAAAAAGGAGAAAAAGTTATATTTACACAAAGGAATAATTTTAGCAAAAACATGAAAGAGAAAATAGAATTTGGAGTAACAGAGATGAGACTTTCTGCCTAAGTTAATTTTTTTAAAGTAAATATAAAATATCTTCAATTTTATAAAGAGGATGATAGAATTAAAGAAGTTGAAATAGAATTAGATTTAAGTATAAAAATAGATAACTTGACTATTCTATTCAAGATGAAGTTTACAAATAAACGTTTAGATTCCTTTAATGTGAAAGAATATATTTGTATAACAATTATAAAAATTAAACCAATATTTCTTAAAGACTAAAACTAGAAAATATTTATTATAATATGGGAAATCAAGAGGGTAGAAGTCAATGTATGGCTATTAAAGATATTGCTCTTGGAAAATGTAGTCCAATGTATGGAAGGTCAGGTAGTCTTTCTCCTGTAGATCAATCTTTAAAAGAAAGTCCTAAAGAAGTTTTCACACCAAGACTTTTTAAAACTCCACGACTTACTTCTACTGAAGTTCAAAGTAAGAAAAGAGCATTTTCTTTATCACGAGCAAATCAAACAGCTCCCTCATCACCTAGAAAATTAAAAAATATAGAAGTTTCATATACACCATCTAGTTATAAAACAGAAAATACTTTTATTAATATAACTTATCTTAATTACAGAAAAGAAGATTCTCGTTCAAGGTCTAAAAGTCATTCACTTTCAAATTCTAAATCAGTATCAAGGTCAACATCTCCTTCTTTTAATAAAGAAAGAGAAGTAATAGAAATTAAAGAAATAAAAATAAAAGATTATAGAATAGCAAAATTAAGAAATTGGGTTGGAAAAAGTAATTATAATATAATTTATAATAGTAAAGTAGATGGTCTTACAGCACGTGATTTAAATTCTCATGTTTGTGGAAAAGGTAATATCGCTTTTATTGTATTAAGAAATGGAGGTGAATGTTTTGGGTGTTATCATTATGATACAATTTCACCTTCTAAGTCTACAAACAATAAACTATTTTCTTCTAATCGTTTCTTTTTATTTGTCTTTAATGAAGCATTAAATTCTACATTAAAAAGAAAAACTGAAGAAACAATTATTGTTCATCCAAATAATGATCCATATTTTGTTTTTACTGTTTGTTCTGCATTTTGGATTCTTCAGGATGGAACAGTTTCATTTCATCAATTAATAAAAGAAAATTACATTATTCCAGATGTTGTAACAAACCCATTTTGTTGTAAATCTTTAATGAAGAAAATACCAATAGATACTCTTCTTGCTGTTCAATGGTATTAATTTGTATGTAATAATTCATTATTTTTTTGGGATTTTTGTTTTTTTTTTCTTTAGTTTGAATTTATTTTGTTTGAATGAAGGAAAGTTATCATTAAAACTCAAAAGAAAGTAACATTTTATTTCATATTTTATATCTTTTCTTTATTTAAAGAAAGGAAAGAGAATAAAAAAAACATAAAGAAAGTATGAAAATTTACTCAATTGAGTAGCTTAAAACTTAGCAAGCATGAATCTTAGCACAAATAGCATTGGCATCAACTTTGTCTTCAATAAGTTGGATGAGTTTATCAATTCCAAAATCAAGAACTTTAGTGCAAAGAGTAGCAATGAATCCTGAGGCTTTATTGCAAAGGCTGCTAATGTAATCTTTTACTTTATCAGCTCCCTTAGTGGTAAGGAGGTTTTCAAGTGTGTTAATAAGTCCAGTGCAAAGGTTGCAGAGGATTTCTCCTTGGTGAGTAGCAGTGACTGCAAAAGCAACAGCGAAGATTAAAACAAAGACGATGGCTTTCATGATTGTTTGTAAGATATGTTTTTGTAGTTTTCAACCTACTCTTTAAATAATTCACGGTGATGTGGCTGAATTTTCTACCAAAACTGAATTTCTTAAGTCACGCTTTTTATCAAATTTTAGATCTTCGTTTTTCTTCTCTTTTTCTTTTTTTTTAATTTTCTAAACTTTTTTTTTTAAACAGAAATAATTAAATTGATTATTTCATTTCTTCTCTTTTAATATTTATTAAAAAATTTAAAATACTTAAAGAATAAGAACATTCTATATATGACATAAGTTTTTTTTTTCATTTGAGTGTTTTATATTTTTTTCTATTTTGTTTTTTAAATAATAAAAGATCGAAGGTGGCACGTCTGAAACACCACACACAAACCCTAGTACAAATTCATACTTCGACTCTCCCAGTTATTATCTGGTTATGACGGTGCCTTTGAATTAGGAATGTATTAGGGAAGCTGCAAAGGGTGCAGCAAGAGAATACAGTAGAATATTACATGGATGTAATATAAGAATCTACTGAAGTGTGGGTATGACTAAAAGAAGATTAGTCAAAGTAAGACTAAAAAGAAAATTAGTCAAAGTAATACAGTAGTAATAAAATGATTCCTTCTTCCATTCATAAAATAAGAAAAATGAAATTCCTGAAAATTAAGGCAGAAAACAAACAAAGGCTTAAAAAGAAGAAATAAGCAGAAGAAGTTTGAAAAACCTTAATAGGAAAAATAAAGCAAAGAAGTGCTTTCCCCATTTTGCAAGACAAACCTAAATGATAGGTTAAACAAAGAGATTACTCTTTTTTAATAAGCTCAGGGATGGGATTAGTCTCCCCTGAGCTAGGAAGAATAGATGAAAAATCTATTAATACTTAATTAATTACTTTTTATTCAATAATAAACCCCTATCATGTTTTAGTAAATATAATTGTTATAATGTTATTCTAAAAACATAAATTAAATAATGTTATAATTTTTATAAAAATGTTTTTGTATTATCAATTATCTTTGAAGAAAGAAGGAGTAAGAGTGAGAGGTGTTGTTTGAGCAAGTTGAGAAGTAATTTTTATATTGTATTGATGACCTTTTTCTCTAACTTCTTTTGTTTCCATTAATAAAGTATTTTTATGAAAGATACGTACTAATCCTTCATAACCTTCTTTAGTCTCTTTTTGTATTTCAAATAAATATCCAAATTCGATTAATAAATCAATAAGAAGATTCATAACTATTTTCTTCTTGATTGGTTGAAGTCTTCTTAGTGCGGTTTTTGCATTAATATTTTGTTTTGAACATTCAAGACACATTTTCATAGAGACTCTATCTTTTGTAAATTTTATTACATTAATACTATCAAATCTATTAAACTCTATTTCTTTGATCTTTACAAATTGTTTTGTTAATGAACTATATCTATTTGGTTTACCAACAACAATTTTGCAATGTGCAGATAATAAACATAGACAGATAGATTGAAGTTCAACTTGAAGGTTTGTTTCATTCCAATGTTTAAATTTGAATTTAGGAACTTGTTCTTTTGGGTATTTAGGAGTTATTTCTTCACAACATCCTTTATCTATTTTATCAAGGTTAGATTTTTCATCAGCAGATAGAGAATTTTCTTCATTAATTGAACTATCTTCTGTTAAACTTGAATTTTTAATAGAGGAAGGCATGATAAGTGAACAAAGAGTGAGAGTGTTTCCAGAAAGCATTAGATGAATTTGAAGCAAATATAGTTGTTTAAACATTTAAACAATTCAAGAAAAATTATAGGTACTAAATGTTTGCAAATGCTTTTGTCTTGTTCTTAAATTAGATGATTGAGGTTAAGTTCTCATCTATCTGAGAACCTTTTCAGTCGTTAATTTATTTATAGAATATTAAAGAAAATAAATCCATTTTCGAAATTGTTTAACTTCTTTGATTAGATACTTTTTTTGTTTTCTTTATCTTCTATATGTGAACAGTCTTGCATTCTTAAATTTTCGTTGCAGAACTTAGTACATTATATACTCAAATATCTTTTATTGAAAATAAAAAGAAGAATTTATTTTTATTCAAAGAATGATTATATTAACAATATTATTTGAAAGGTTATTATTTTGTGACAATTGTATTATTAAAATCCCTTTAGTTTTCTTTCATGGATATTTGAAGTTTTTTCATTTTATACCGCTTTGTAAAACATCATTAAAAACTAAAAACTTGAATAGATAAGTCCCACCTAAACAATTTTAAAAATCCAAAACAAAATAAATATTTGTTTTCATTTATTATTTTAATTGATCCATCCAACTACGCTCATCATCTAATTTATAGAAACATGTTGAAATAGACCATTGAATGAGTCGAATAAATTCATCTGCATCTTGCTCTTTGTTAAATACAATACCAAGTGGTTGTAATTCACTATATTTTACTAATGTCACATTTGGTCCATTTGTACTGGAGTTGATGTCGCAACTTAATTCGTATTCTTTAATAAGAACGTTTTTCTTTTCTTTCTTCCCAAAAAAATAAATTTTGTCATTACATAATTCTATAATCACTTGTTGTTTCTTTTTATCTTTTAATTCTCCTTTTGCAGTGAATAAATGAAATCTTCCTTTTGCAACAATAGAATCTATTTGATGTTCTTTAGCAACTTCAACAAGTCTATCTCTCATTTTTGCTCTTTCATTTAAAATTTGACAAAATTGGTGAAATCCTGAATATGCACTTTGAAGCATTCTATAATCTGGATTATATGGTGACGTTACTTTCATTAATCCTTCTATCATCATGGGATATCTCATTGCCCTTTGAACTGGTTGAATTAATAATTGTTCTAATGTTTGAGGTGAAATCTTTTCTGCTGCTTGTTGAACTACTTTTTTTCCATTTATTGTATTTTTAATTTCTTTCCAAACTGTTGCCATAGTATTATAACTAATACTATATTCTAATAATGGGCTAATAAATTGTAATGTTGAATTAATAATTTCTCCTAAATTCGTATTATATTTATATTCATTCATTCCTTGTTCTAATGTTACTAATATTGATTTACTTGCTGCAATACATTGACTTAATAATCCAAATACTACTTGTACTTTTGGTTCATTTTCTAATGGGTCTGCAAAATATATTTTCATCATTTCCATATTTTTCAATAAACTACGTTCTGTTTCAACAAATTCAATAAATGCATCTTTTCTTTTTCTTAATGAATTAGTATTATACATCATTTGCATCATATGTCTTCTTATAATTTCTTCCAATTGAATAACTTCTTGTTCATTATATTTCTTTTGACTCCAATCTTTTTCAACCATAGTTATTGTATCAAGTGTTTCACGAGTTTTAGGAAGTGGTGTAACCACTTTTTTTTCTTTCTCTTTTTGTTTTGGTGATTTAATACCTTCTTTTTCTTTATTCTTTAATGGTTCTTTAAATGATTTTCTTTTCTTCGTCTTCTTTTCATTTGCTTCAATCTCAGCTGCTTTCTTTATGTCTGGAAGACTTTCCATCTTTTTTTGTGGTAAATTACCTCTTAATGATTGAACTTTTAATCCTTTAATCTTTTCATGTGGAACTCCTAATGAATTTGCTCCTTGTGAACGACGTGTTGGAGAAAGAAGAGGTGAATATGTTCCATTATCTAATGCACTTTTTGATAAAAGATCACTATGACGTTCTGAATCTGTTGAAGTAGCTGATCTAGGAGTATAATTTGATTCAACAAAATCATTTCCATCAGAAATAATCATTGGAGTAAACCAATGTTTTAATTGTTCTAATATAACAATATTTTTAGAGTCATGTTCAACATTTTTAATATATGATAAAAAGAATTCACTTTGCTCTTTATCAGGATCAAATAACATAATTGACTCAACAACTACATCATTCATTCGTTCAAATAATTCATAAATAAATTCATTCAAATTTGAAGGTTTAAGATAATTTATAACATCTTCTAAATGAATACCAAATCGAAGTAATGCTAATCCAATAAATATTTCATTGGAATATGTTGATGGACCATATGGATTAATTAAAAATTCAAAGTAAATTGGTAGTTGTTTTTCAACCAATGAATCAACTTCTAATTCAAATCTTTCTTCTTTTTTTGAAGAGTTCATTGATAAAAAAACTGAAATAGCAGACTTTAATGCAACAGGCTTTTGTAAACAGCTACGAGGAATGGCAAATCGACTTCCATTTATTAAAAAAATAACTAATTCATTAGAAAATGTTTCTTGATAAAATGATTGGAATTGGGTTGTATTATATTTACTTCCAATATCTTTTGATTTAGAGTCAAAAGAGAATTTCTTTAATTGAAGTGTTTGTTTAAATCGTGGGGATAACATGTTGTCAACTTCTTTCTGTTTTTTGATTCTTTTATTTCATCTTACAAATGTCTAAAAATAGTCTTTTCTTCTTTTTTTTTTTTTTAAGTTTTTTTCCTCCTTTTATATTCTTCCTTTTCTCTTTTCTCAAGTTTACATTCATGTCAGTTAAAATATTTCATGAAGAATTCAATTAGAATGATTCATCGTCATAGTCAGAACTCCACCACATCATTATAAGTCCTATAAGAATCAATGTTACAGTAAGTAATATTATAGAAACAAATGGATGTTCTAAAAAAAGTATTGAAATAGTGTTTTGTTCATTAGTATCTTCTTGGATAAGAATTTTATTCTTCTTATTATTCTTTTTATTATTTTTTTTTCTTTGGAATTGAGTGTTATTTGTTTTTAATTCTTCTTTAATAAGAACATCATCTGGTTGTAAATTATTTTGTTTTGAATCTTCAATAATAGGTATTTTGCTTGGTTGATTAATTTTTGGAGTTATTTCATTGAGAGAATCTTTTCTATTTATTTTATGATACGTTCCAACTTTATCTGCCGTAGTACTTTTAATTCTTTTCTTTTTGTTTTCTTTTTCACATAAAAGAGATGGTAGAATTTCCTTTTTTTTAACTTCTTTTGGTTTACTTAAATCAATATTTAATTTTTTGTGGTGTTGTTCTTTTTTCTTTTCATTTTCTCCTTCTCCTCTTTTTTTCTCTATTTTAATATGATGATTATTATTTACATCTGTTAATGTAATTTCTCTTTGTTTATTTTCAATGTCTTGACTAAAAGAAGTATCATTAAATTGTAATGAATTTGATTTAATTATAACTTGTTCTTGTTTAATATGTTTTTCTTCTTCTTCTTCTTCATCTTTTTTAATTTCATTATCAATTTGGTTTATATCATTATGTTCTTTTTTATCATTAATTTGAGTATGTTCTTCTCCTTCTTCAATAGAAATTATGTCATTTTGTTCATTTGTTATTTCAGACAAATCTGAAGTTCCAATAATTTCAGAAGCATAAACTAATTCACTCGTATTTTCTTCACTTTTATCTTCTTTATTTATTGTACTTTCTATTCTTTTTCTTTTTGGAATGAATGGTGTAGCATTAATTTTGAATGGTAAAGCATTTGGTAATGAAGTCCTACGTTTCTTTTTTTGTTCTTCAATTTTTTTAATTACAGTGAGTTGAGTACCTTCTTTTACTCCAATTTCTTTATGTTTAGTTTTTTGACCAATAATTCCACTACATTTAAGAAGATGAACTAATGATTCTATTTTATTTTTAAAGTCTTGTTTATTTCCTTTATTATCTATTTTCATTTGATTCCATTGATCTCCCCATCCACCATTTGGATCTAATTTCAATATTTCAGGTAATGATATTGGTTGGATACTTTCTTTTAATGAATTTAATGGTGTAAGTAATTCTTCAGTTGATGGTTTAAAGAATAAAGATGAATGAGAATAATAATGAGCTGTTTGTTTACTACCACTTTTTAATATAAGAAGATTAAATTCATTTAATATATCTGCTTGTTCTTCTCCTTCAAGATAAGATACCCATAAACTCATTTTATATTTATTTTCTTGTTGAATTAAACTAATTCCTTGCTATCAAAGATGAGTGTTATTTCTATTTTTTCTTATTTTTTTCATTTACAAACAATTAAAAATGAATGTTTCATTGTTTTACAAATAACTCCATCAATAATTAATTGAAATAATCCATCTTTATATTCTTTTTCAATTTCAACTGTAAATTTTCCTCCTTCTACATTTTCTTCATTAAATTCATGAGTTACACCATTAACAAATATTTGAATTTGATGATTACTATAATGTTGTTTAGAATTTGAAAGTATATTCCATATTTGACAAAATTGTCTTAGTGTTTTGAATTTACCAATTAATTTACCAAATGGACAATATTCAGATGTATTAGATTTAATTGTTGTATTATGATAAAAACACCATTCTTTGGAAAAATATTTCCACACTGTTTTTTGATTGGACAAACTTACTACTGTATCACGAATATTTCCTTTAATATAAACAATATGTTCTTCTAATTTTTTATTAATTTCCATGTTAGTATAGATATTCAATTTTTAAGTTCAGATCATTAAAACAAAAATAGTTCATGTTATTACGCATCAACTATTCCAAACATAGACGAATTATCTCTGTATTTTTTTATCCTTTTTATTCTTCTGGTTTTTAGAAAAAAAAGATTGATGTAAATCCGCACTCTTTTTTTGATGTGAAATGAACAATAAAAATTCAAATAACAAAACATTTTTAAATTGTTATTTTATAATTAATTTTTACTTAAAAATAACTTAAATCTTTAATTTTTACCCAACCCCTTCTGACATGGCTTTACAAATTCTACCTCCACTCATCTCTGCTTGTGGAAAAGTTGCTACAACACTTATTGCTGGTGGTATTGGAACAAAAATAGCTGATAGTTTTAGCAGTAGAACAAAAGAACAAGCACTAAGACAAGTAGATGAGTTAAAACAGGAGAATGAAGGGTTAAAACAGGAGAACGAAGGATTAAAACAGGAAAATGAAGGGTTAAAACAGGAAAATGAAGAGTTAAACAATAAAACCAAAGAATTAGAAAATGACATAGTAACAAAAGAACAAGAATATTTCGTTTCATTATTAAAAGGAAAAGATGAAATAATCAAACTTACTGAACATTATAAAAAACAACAACAATAAATTGAAGAACAAATGAATAACAGTTTAATAGAAAAAGACAATCAAATTATTTCATTACAAAATCAATTGAATCAACTTAAAGATGAATCAATAATAAAATCATCAAAATACAAAATTTATTTTAAATGGGGACCAACAATTGTTTGTGTAATAGTATTAGTTATAAGTATATTGTTACATTTAACTAAATAAGAAATAATAAAACCAACATTAAATTTATTTTGCTTTTATGACATTTAATTCTTTAAGTTCTTTTTGTACTTTTTTTAATTCATCTAAAAAGTAATATATCTCAGTCATTTTTGATTGGAGTTGTTGTTGAGTTATTGGTAATTGATTTTCATCATCATCAATATCTTCATATATCACTTTTTGTAATTCAACAAATTTCTTTTCTGCAACTTCTAATTTTGATAGAAATTCATTTGATTTTGTTAAAATTTCTTCTTTATTTCCAAATGGATGAACTGACAATAACCTAAGCATTTCTTGAAATGCAATCATTGATTTACTTAATTCCTGATGTTATGAGATTTCTTTCAATTATCTTTGAAATTTGATTAAAATAATTTCAAACTTCTTCTGTTTCCTTTTTAAGTTGTTCTTCACGTGATATTTCCATGAAATGAATTAATAGTATTAAAGTGTTTTATATGAACTATAATAAATAGTAAATTATATTATTCTTATTGAAATCGAATATATTTTGGTCTTTCTTTTTTCACCATTGAATATATAGTTGAAATTAATGTCGCTGTTACAACTATCCCACAAATAATATGTGTAATAAATAATGTCATATTACTTGCTTGTATTAATTCTTCAAATTTTGTTTTGCATAATATATCAAAACACATTGGATTTTTACAAGCACAATTAGATGGTGAAATAGAGTCATAACCACAACACCTAAACTACATATCATTATTCATATTTAGTATTTATTATTTATTCTATTAAACAAACTGTTGCTTCTATTAATTGACTAATGGGTATATCATCTGTATTTGTTAATGTTGTTATATCCCAATAATTTAATATTACTTGTTGTGCTTTAATGAGAATATATGATGAATATCCAATAGCTGTTATTGCCATTCCTACAACTATAATTTGAACACAAATATTTATTATCATAATAATCCTCTTTTTAAAATGAATCATAACAATTGATGCAATTCCACCAACTAACATGAATACTGCTAAAGTGATTGACATGTTATTTAATGTTTTGAATATTTTAAATTCATCTCTATCATAAATTAGTGAAGTTTTACTATAATACAACATATGATTATTAATGTTAACTGCAGATAATAATACTTCAAGAGCAGGAATTAATTTCCAGAGACTCAACATGGTAAAATCATCTTTTAAGATTTAAGACAAAAGTTCAAAAATAACTGGATATAAAACAAATTATTCATTTAGAATAAAAAGTATAAGAATTTAAGAAACCCTGAAATAGGGTAAAAGAAAAGAAATAGAAATAAGAACTATAAAAATAGAAAGAATGAAAAGAGAAATTGAAGGAAAAATGAAAAAAGAATCAACTAAAAATACAGATCTTGAATCTATAGAATGAAAACTGAAGAAATTCTAAGAAAACAAGATCTATTAACACTCCAAATCATTGGAGAATTAGCTAATATTCAAGAAATATCAAATATAAAACGAACAGATCTTATTGAAAGTATAGTTTGTGAATCGTTTATTAAAAAAGAATTAATTATTTCAATGAGAATGAGTCTATTTAACAGAGAGTCTATTTTTAATAACATAAATAAAACAATAACAAAAAAAAAAGAAGATAAAATATAAAAGAAGAAATAAACAATAATACTATAGATTGACTATTGTAGTATAACTGGAACTATTATTGTTCTTGATGATCTCACTGTTACTTCACTTCAAGAAATATTTAATCGTATTAAAGATAAAACAGAAAATATAGTAAAAACAAGAGCTGGGTTAAATAAACATATTATTAATTTCATTAAAAAGAATGGTGCAGAAAAGTTTTTTAAAAAAGTTCCAGAGTATATTAAGAAAGATATGTTTGCATTAGTTTCTGATGCTAATACTAGTACAGTTAAAGCATTAATGAATGAAGCTATTTTAACAGGATTTGCTAATTTATTAAATAGAACAAATACACAAATTTTAAAAGATATGGTAAAGAAAATATCAAATGAAAATACATTAACTAAAAAAAAAGAATTAATTAACTTTTTACTTGAAGAAGAAGAATAGTAATAATTGAAATATTACAAATTTATTTGATAATTAGTATTTCTATTTTCTTTGTTTTTTTTTAATTTCATTCTTTCTTTTTTAAGTAAAAAAAAATAAATGAAATTAAAAAAAAAAACAAAACAGTTAAATAAGTATGGAGCTATCAACTGTTCATTCTTCATTTAATGAATCTACTCATTGTAAATATGGATTAATTGATATTTTAAAATTACAACAATTCCAAAAACAAATTGATTGGAATGTACAATGGGCATGTCATATTGAAATTGGAAAATATATTAGAAAATTATGTAGTTTAACTCGTAGAAATATGATAAAAACTGCAATAAGAATTCATTCAAGTTCAATTATTTATTATCGTAGATTTTATGCACAACGATTAATTACTGAAATTGATCCAAGACTTATAGCAGCAACTTGTGTATTTTTTTCATCAAAAGTTGAAGGATGTTTAATATCACCACATAGTATTATTGAATATTCAAAACAAATTCTTGAATTTCCATTTAAAATTCAACAAATAACTGATACAGAAAGAATTTTAATTGAAGCATTGAAAAAAACACTTATTGTATGGCATCCAGAAAAAGATTATGAAGATATTTGTAATTCTTCTCAATTACCTGAATTTGTTTGTGAAACTATACAATCTATATTAAATGATGCATATCTTACTAATGCTATTATTACTTATCAACCAACAGAAATAACTTTAGGTTGTGTTGTAGTTGCTGGAATTTTACAAAATTGTGATATTAGAACATTATTATGTTCAATTCAAATTAATCTTCATCATGTTGAAGCAGTTGCTAATGAAATTTTAAATTATTACTCTTTTATTAATTCAAAAGAATATTCATCATATCAACAAAAAGCAAAAGAAATAATTCGTGTTCTTTGACTCTTCTTTTATTTTACTTTTTACTTATTTCCATGACCAACAATTATCATCAACCTCTTTAACAAAAATTAATAATAATAATAATAATAAAAACAAAAAAAAAGACAGAAAAAAAAGAAGGAACTAAATTCTTGTATTTCAGACAATGTTCAAAAGTGGTAAAACTATTAGACATATTAAAAAACCTCAAACCCAAAAACAAATTATGTTAGAAGAACATGTACAAAAAACACTTGGAATTGGACAAATAGAACAAGCAATTCTTCTTCCCCCAGGAGAAGATTTGAATGAATGGCTTGCTGTACATTGTCTTGACTTTTTTAAAGAATCACAATTATTATATGACTCAATTGCTGAAAGTTGTACAAAAGAGTCATGTCCAGTAATGACTGCTGGTCCTCAATTTGAATATCGATGGAAAGAAGGAAAAGAATTGTTTTCATTACCTGCAAATGAATATATTAATAAGTGTCTTGATTACGTTCAACAACAACTTGATGATGAAGCTGTATTTCCATGTACTGTTGGTGTTCCTTTTCCAAAGAAATTCCAAAAAGTGGTTCAAATGATATTTAAACGATTATTCCGAGTATATGCACATATTTATCTTCATCATTTAAATCAAATTACTCAATTAGAAGAAGAACCTCATTTAAATTCATCTTTTAAAGTTTGTTATTTCAATTTCTTATTCACCTGTAATTAATTTTAATATTAACTCTTTCTTTAGCATTTTATTTTATTTGCTACTGAGTTCAGTTTATTAGATAAAAAAGAAGTTACTCCAATGATGTGTGTTATTCATTTACTAGTTCCATCAGTTGAATCAAAATATAAATGAACAATTATGATGTTTTCTTTTGTTAAAGTATTTCTTTCTTGTTAAGAAAGAAAAAAAGAAAACAAAGATTTGAGACAATGTAACAACGAGTATTTATGAACATTATCGAGTATGAAATGACTTATTTCTTATTAGTTATTTGACCTTCTTTTTCCTTTCTTGTTTTATCAGACTTATCACATTCTTCACTTGATTTAGAACTACATTTCTTTTTTTTCTTAAAGAAAGAAAAATTAAATGAATGACCATCTGACCATGAAAATCTTCTTTTCTTTAGATTGTTATTGTCTTGGGGAGAATCTGTTGGTGAAAGTTTTGGTACAGAAATAGTATTTGCACTTGATAATTTACTTTGTTGTTGAGAATTCATTATGTCTGAAGATTTTGGGACATCTAGAGTTGTATTTAAACTATCACAACTTAATTCTGTTGATAGAGATACTTTTTTTAAGGGAATAGGAATTGTAATAAGATTATCAGAATTGTTATTAGATTGAGATATATGAAGATACGATTCATTTCTTCGTTCTTTATCAATTCTAAGCTCTTTACTTAATAATTTCTTCTTAGACTTTTCTTCTCTTAATGCATTTTCATGTTTATTTACTTCAATCTTTTTAAATCCTGAAAACCGTTTAGTGTTTTCTTCTTTTAAGGATGAAGAACTTTTAAGTTTTGTAATAGAGCCTTTCGTGTCTATTGCCCCTTGATCAATTAAAACTAATTCAGAAGAAGAAAGTCGAGAGGGATATAATGACTTTAATGTTTTAAACTCATTAGTAGAAATTTCTCTTGGAGTAATTTGAGAATTATATAAAGGAAGATTATCAAATATTCCTTTTTTAAAAACTTGTGATAATTGAGGTGGGGTAATACTTCCATATCTAAAAGGAGAGTCAATAGTAATATTAGCAACATGTCCTGCTCTTAATAATGTCATATAAACATCATAATATTGACTTCTAGAGAGATCTAAATTAGTAATTGAAATATCTTTATAAGTATCAGCAATCATTTGACTAGGTTCAGCAGTAACAACATGACCATAAACTTTATAAGGAAATTCTCTTGGTGGTAATACAAAATCTTTTAAAGAACCATTTGTAATAAAAGGATGAGCCAAAGCTTGTTTTGGTGTAAATCTTAGTTTAGGGTCATACTGAAAACAACCACTTAAAAAATCAAATAGAGTTTGTTTTGTCTTTAGAGTTAAAGGACTTTCAACACGTAATTGACATTTAAAAATAATATCTTTTAATAATTTTACAGGAAGATATTCTTTATGAGGAGGAAGATCACAATTATTTTCCCATTCATATTCAAACTGTTCTTTTAATCTATATTGTATCACTCCAAGTGAACTTGTTGATTTTTTGAAATAACATTTTGATTTATTTCCAGTAGAAAGTAAAGAAAAAGGTAACATCCCTAGTGTTTGTACAAATCGATATAATAAATCATATTCACTATTTGCTGGAAATAATGGAATACCTAAAAACATTTCAGCAACAATACATCCAACACTCCACATATCAATTGATGTTGAATATTTCATTCCTAATGCAATTTCTGGAGCTCTATAATGTCTTGATTGAATATAAGAATATAATGTATAATTAGAAAAACATGCAGACCCTAAATCAATAATTTTAATGTCTTTGTTATTAATCAATACATTTTCAGGTTTTAAATCACAATGAACTATACCAGCTTTATTTAATGATGACATTCCTTCAAGAATTTGTCGTGTTATTTTTTTAATATTTGATAATTTCATTCCTCTTAAACGAACTTCTTTTAACATTTGATATAAATTTTGACTATCTTAAATGAATTTTTATTCTTCTTAAATCTTTTCACAATAAACAACAAACCCCAATAATTCTTGAACAATGCATAAATGACCACAATAAAGAAAATGATCAATCATTTCTACAATATGTGAACATCCTTTATCATATATTGTATTAACAATTGTAAGAGTAGTTACCTCTAATAATCCTTGTCTAAAATATGCTTTTTTATTTTTAAGAATTTTTAATGCAACCATTTTTCCATTGTTAAGATCTTGACATTTAAATACTTGACCAAAAGTACCTTGTCCTAGTTTTTCAATAATTTTATACTGAGTAACTACTGATTTTCTCATAGAATATCTACGTCCTTCAATTGAGTTATAACTCCCAATAATATCTCCTTTTCTAATTATTAATTCTTGGTTTTCATTATCGAGACCTCCATTAGAAATTGGAGTTTCTGGTTTAGTTAAAGTTGGCTGTAAAATTGATTCTGTTTGAAAATTTGAATTACATCGTCTCATAGTATTAACAATTCTGGAAGTAACTTCTTTAGTAAGATGTATTGAACCTCTACCAATAATATCATAAACACAATTCTTATTAGGAATGAATGAGCAAAAACAACTGCTTTGTTTCATTCCTTAATATAATAAACAAATTAGTTCTTTTTTCTTTTGTTATTTAGTGCTATTTTTATGGCATTATCTTAATTGAAAGTAAAATTTTTTCTTCAACTTTCAATGATATTTGTTTGTTTTATTCTTTAACGCAGTATTTGTTAATTTTTATTAATCTTATAAAAAAATTATAAAACTTGTTAATAAGGTTGATTTTAACATAACTAAATTGGTGTAAATGGAATTACAACACTTTTTAATGGAGAAGTAAACATTGGTCTATTTACTACTGGAGATTGAAGAATTGGAATTCGTTTCTTTTCAAGAGAAAAGGTATTTTTCTTAGAAGTAGGTTTTAAATTAATTTCTTTTTTATTCTCTTCACGTATTTTTTTTAATTGAGCAAATTCTAAATTCAAATGAATCTTTTTAACTTTGGAATTTTTGGAATAGTACTAAAAAAAAACAAACTGTCATTTATTTTCGTATTCAATTTCTTTTGTAATACTGCATTGGAACTAACCTCAAAGGCATTTTGTTTGAATAATTGTTTCACTTGGTTTGTTTGTGGTGAGAATAATTTACTTGAAATTATTGAATTTTTTTCACTTTGTTCTTGTTGCATTCTTAGAATTATGTCTTTTGTTTGTTTGCTATTTTGTTCATATTCTTGTATCAATGCTTTAAATTGTTGATTCTCCAATTCTAATTTTTCATTTTCTTTTTTATATTTTTCTAACTCATTTTTTACTTGATCTCGTTGTTTCCGGTAATCAAAAGCCTTAGAGATAACTTGTTGGTACTTAACATTTAATTTTTTTTCATTAACACGATTGTCATGTTGTAATTTAGATTCATAGAGGAGTTGTTGTTTCTGATTAAAATTCGAAATCAAACAGATAATTTCATTTACTACTAGTTACATTTTTTATTTATAATAAAAAATAAGGAATTATCAATAAACAAACAATTTTTTGGTGATATACCATAGAGTTGTTGGGCTATTGACTCAAAGTCTGTTGAGTCATTTCTGGAAATATCGCTATAGTGTCATTTTGTTTTCTTATTAAAATCCTTTTCTATAACAAACTCTTCAGTTAGAGTAATTTGACATAAAGGACATTTATAATTTCCATTTAACCATGCCTTCTGGGCACAGTATGAACAAAAAATGTGTTTACATTTGTTCACAACATAATATTCACTTGGATCAATATCCTTCCAGCAACAATTACATTTCATTCATTTAAAATTTTATCTACTTAAATAATATCCCTTAAATGTTGCTTTCTTTTTATCTTAAATGATATCTGCTCACTAAATATTCTTAAAAAAAATGAAATCCTCATAAGAGAAAAATAAATAGAAATTATCTGGAAAAAGAAATAAATTACTGGACATTAACTTTTAAAGTAAAAGTACGGTCATTAGCATTTGGTGCCCAAGGTCTTCTGTATACTAAAACAATTTTTCCTTCACCAGTTTGAGTACCAGTAATTTTAATATGATATTTTCCACCACATCCACAAATACCTGGGGCATGTTGGTCAGCAACATATTCAACAGTATTACTAAGACCTTCACAACTATCAACTACCCATGAGTATCCAGTTGTTGGATTTCCATGAAGAATAATTTCTTTATTTTCACCTTTTGCAATTGTGATTGTTGTGTTGTTATTATCTTCAGTTAATGACATTTTGATATTTCAAAGATTTTTTAATTGTATTTTTATAATCCCCTATGAAGTGTATATCTTAAAAATAATTTTAAGATATGAAGAAAGAAGAATAAATTTCCATGTTAATCGAAAATTCAATCATTACAATATTGAATATTTTGAATATGAAAATTATTTAAAAAATATGTTTTATCAATAAATTTTAGTAAGTAATATTTTTAAGAAAAACAAAATGTATCAAAAGAAATGAATTAGAGTTTAAATTAACTTGACTCCGGTTGGATAGTTAGAATCTCTTCCAATACCACACATGTTGTTGGAGTCTCTAGCAAGAAGGAAGTATCCAGCATCTCCCCATGATGTTCCCCATGAGTTTCTAATAATCCAATATTTACCATTACTATTTGAACCATAACCAACAGCAGTAACACAGTGATTCATCATTCTTGATCTACATTTAGTATCAGAATAGATAGTTCCTTTCTTATATAATTGGAATGATGGTCTGCTAGCATCCATACCAACAGCAACAGGTCCGTTTTCAGCAATAATAGTTTGAAGTCCAGTTTCACTTCCATCAGTAACTCTTCTAGAACCAGTAACAGTAGCAACGTTTTTAACTTTCTTGCAAGTACCAGCAACAGCTTTATATGGATAATCACTTTCTAATCCTAATCCATTATTTTCTTGGATGAATTTAAGTGAGTTAGATGGATGTCCTCCTTCACATCCATTATCAGAAGCATCACAATCAACTAATTGTTGTTCAGAGAATGAGTAAAGTTTTCCAAGATCTTTGTTAACTCTTCCTTCAAGAACTGCAGTTGTACAGAAAGTCCAACATGAACCACATTGTCCTTGATCTTTAGCTGGATTCATAATACTTCTCCAATCAACTGATTCTGGAGCAGCTTTAACGGCAGCTTTAACATTAGAAGTAGTTTCTGGAACTTCATAAGTCATTCCAAGATGAGTTTGGATGAATTCTTCGTGAGTCATATCAGCAAAAACATTAAGTTCAGTATTAGCATTAGCTTCAACAAATTTTTTGTTGTCTAAGAAAACAGCAAATCTGTAAAGATATTCAGCTCTATTAGCAAATACTTTGTTATGTGTAGCAGCCCATTGTTTGAATGCAACTTCATTTGCACAAGCAAGAGAAACAAATAAAATTAATGCAAACATAAAATGATTTTATTTAAAAATACTTTACAGTTTAAATACCAAATATTGCGTATAATTTAACTTTTCCAATTCTTTTGATTTTTCTATGTTTTTTTTTAATTTGATTTATTTCCTATTTATTTATAGTTTATTTTCTTTTATTTCTTATTATTAACAACTCATTCTATTCTTATTCCTTGGCTTTTTCTTTTTTTTTTTATGGAAAATAAAAGAAATTTCATTATTTCTTGAACTTTCTTATTATAATGAAGTAAATTCAATTTATAGAATGATTCATAGAATAATTTCTTCTACTACCATAAATTGAAATTAAAACTCTCTTATCACTTACATAATGAGAAAACTTATTAAATTATTTTCTATTTACAATTTTTTTTTTCTTTTTTGGTTGAAAAAAATTTAAATTATAAAAATAGAAAAGATTCATTTGAAATAAAAAAATAAAAAAAAAGAATTAAAACCGTTATATATAACACAATTATGCACCAAATAAACAAAAGATAAAAGAGAAAAAACGTTGAAACTAAAAAAGAGGAAATAAGAATAATATGGGAGACCAAGAAACCTTCAAAGCTCTTAATAAGAAATGTTTTAAAGAACAAGCTATTTGGATGTTAAATGCTTTATGGCCAACATATAAAGATACTATGGCTGAAGAAGTTTGGGGATTTAATCAAATGTTTTCAGAATTTGAAATTGAAAACCATGAAAATGGATGTGATCTTGATGAGTTGAATATGCATCGTGTTTTTGAAAAACTTGGAAACCAAAAAACTGTTCAAGAAATGCGTTCTCAATTAAAACAAGCTGGAGTAGAAAACTTTAAAAGAGTTGGAATGCTTCATTTCCTTACTTATTACTATGGTATGGATTGGCATAAAGTAGCCAATGCTCCACAAGGAGATAACTCTGCTCAAGTTGAAAAGGCTCAACAACTTCTTGATGAAGTCTCCAAACAATTGGAACTTTGTCAAAAGAGAGCTGAGGAAGCTAAGAAATCTGCTGAAGCTGCTGCTGCAAGACAAAAAGAAGCTCAAGCTGCAGAGGATGAAGTTACTAAAGCTTTAAATGAAGTTAAAGCACAGGAACAAGCTAAAGAAGATAAAAGAAAAGCACTTCAAAAGAAGATTGAAACAGCAGGATTAGTAGCTAAAAATGCTGCTATTCAAGAGTTAGCTAAACTTGATAATGAAGATGACTTACCTTTAAGAAGAGCTAAAACTACTCTTGAAGCTGCTCAAAGAAAAGCTGCTAAAGCTGTTAAAATTGCTACTGAAGCTAAAGAAAAAGCAGAAAGTGATTCTCAAGTTGCTGAAAAAGCTGTTGAAGATACACAAAAGAAAGTTGCAGAAGCTGAGGCATATCTTAAAGAAGTTCAATTGTCAGCTGGTTCAGCTGGTCAAGGAACTATGTGGTGGATGCAACGAGAACTTGAAGAAAAGAAGAAATACATGCCAATGAAGAAAGGAGGAATTGCTAAGAAATAATTTAATTTTATTTCATTCTCAAATTAAATATTAATGTTTATTTATTGAATAATTAATACTTTTAAAAGGAGAGATAGAAAATGTTATGAACAAAAAACATTATATCATTATAAAAAGCATATTATGAATAATCATCTAAAATGGAGGAACATTAATATGTAAAGGTGGTTAAAAACAAGATCAAATATTAGTATTAATAAATACTAATACTCCGTTTGTTTCAATTAATATTCATTCTTATGAATGTCATTGATAAATTACTGCTTGTTTAATATTTTATAATTCTCAGCAGTGTCATTTAAAATTAATTATAATAAAAGTAGTTGTATTTATTGTATTGAGAAGAGTTTAAAGGTAAATAAGACTATAAGAATAATTAAAATAATTAAAAAGATAGATTTAATATGAAATAAACAAATGAAGAGGTTATATTTATTTCAATAATAAAGTGTTTTAATTTGGTCATTAATTTATATTATTTCTTATTATTTATTTAAATTGTTATTCACATTTATTCATTAATATTATTGTAACATTGTTAATGATATTTCATTGTTTCATTTTCCTCTTTATATATGTTATGAATTGTTTTTTTAATTTCCATATTTCTTTCTTTTTTATTTGTAACTTCTTTTTAAAGGAATTTCCAAATAGTTTTACTATTTTTATTCCAAATTAATTATTTTTAGATGTTTATCTATATTTCTATTACTCACTGCTTTTAAAAGACTCTCTTGGTATTCTTTTATTTTTGTTAATACTCTTCACATCAACATCTGTAAAAAACGTCAAAATCTAAATTCACTAAATGATGATTGAATATTAATTGAGATTAATGACAAACATTCAGAAAAAAATTAACATCTAATATATTAATTGTGTGGGTGTTAATTGATTCTACTTATACTTTTTAAAACCACTATCTTCAATTTCAATGACTCTTATTGGAATATTAATTGATGATAGTTGATAGTACTTATAAAAATGTTATTTTTCTATACGTTTAATTGGTAATTGAATAATAAATTCATTGACCATTCCTCTTTCTACTTCTTTCATATTAGTTCTTTTTGAATTATCAATGAAAATAAACAACAATTTATACTCATTAACAAATATTCTATATTTATTAATAGAGAAGATATTTTGCATATGAAGTTCAATTTATGACGAACATTTTTTTTTAAAATAGTCTTTTCCTATTTCATTTACAAACTTTTGACTATTCAAAGTAATTAATGAAAGAAATCATTCAAAACATGCATTCCTTATTCTACTAACTCTTTTTGTATGTTATTTGATATTAACTTTACAATTACAAAAATACAAATCCACTTCTTTCTTTATTGCTGTTGGATCAGTAATTGATTTAATAAAGCATAATTATAAATGAAAAATTTTTAAGTAATTTAATTTTTATTTGTTTTTGTTTCTTGATATATTTATATAATCTTCTATGTATTAGACACTTTTACATATATTTAATTATTCTTTCTTTTTTAATATGTTGAATAATAAAAGAAATAATAAAAATGAATGTAAAGAAATGTATCAAAAATATACAATATAAGAGTGAATCGACTACACTAACAAAATAATAAAGTAATAAACAGAATGAAATATATTAATAAATGAAATTGAAAATGATTGAACAACTAATTAATAAACTACAATGATAAGAATATGATAAATAAAATAATGAAGAGTATTAATATAAAGAGA